AAAAAAAAAAACAGGACAAAAAGAATGAGCAGGTCAGATCTGCCCCCCAAATTTCAAACTAGAAATTTGAAATTCCAGTTATCACTAGGCACCTGGGTAATCAAGAATCAACTCTAAATGTTCGGTATAACCTGGATTATAACCAAGCCATCTCCTAGGCTTCATCATGTAATCTAGAGCTATTATACTGACACAGTGGATATTACATTATCTTTTCTTGATACCTCGCAGCATCAGAACATTGAGGCTCTTTGAAATACACCTAATTTTTCAGACTTATTTTCTTCCTTACCTCCACACAATAGGTATTAGTTCAAGATTCTAACTACCATGTAGTGTTCACAAATACATAAATATTTGTGAAGGAGATGTTCTGCAGAGCATGTAAAAATTAAGGTCATTGCCCAGAATGGTGGCTCATGGGTGTACTCTCAGCACTTTGAGAGGCTGAGGCAGGTAGATCACATGAACTCTGGAGTTCAAGACCAAACTGGGTAACAGGATGAGACCCCGTTCCTACTAAAAATACACACACAGCCAGGCATGGCGGCTCACACCTGTAATCCAGCACTTTGGGAGGCCGAGGTGGGTAGATCATGAGGTCAGGAGTTCAAGATCAGCCTGGCCAAAATGGTGAAACCCCATTTCTACTAAAAAAATACAAAAATTAGCCGGGCACAGTGGCACACACCTATAATCCCAGCTACTCGGGGGGCTTAGATAGAGAATTGCTTGAACCCAGGAGGCGAAGGTTGCAGTGAGCCTAGATCATGCCACTTCACTCCAGCCTGGGTGATAGAGAAAGACTCCATCTCAAAACACACACACACACACACACACACACACACACACACACACACACACACACACACAGTTAGCCATGCATGGTGGTACATGTTTATGGTCCCAGCTACTTGGTATGCTGAGGTAGGAGGATCATTTGAGCCCAGGAAGTAAAGGATGCAGTGAGCCGAACTTGTGCCACTGCACTCCAGTCTGTGTGACAGAGCAAGATTCTGTCTCAAATTTTGAAAATAAAATAAATTTTAAAAAGTCTGGGCGCAGTGGCTTACGCCTTTAATCTCAACACTTTGGGAGACTGAGGCAGGAGGATCCCTACAGTCCAGCCTGGAAAACATAGGGAAACTCCGTCTCTAAAAAAAAAAAATAATAATAATAATAATAATAATTTAAAAAATAAATAAATAGGGTAACAAGTCTGGGCACAGTGGCTCACACCTGCAATCCCAGCACTTTGACAGGCCGAGGTGTGTGTGGGGGGCGGGGGCGGGGGGGTATCACCTGAGGTCAGGAGTTCAAGACCAGCCTGGCTAACATGGTGTACAAAAATTAGCTGGACATGGTGGCTCACGCCTGGAACCCCAGCTACTTGGGAGGCTGAGGCAGGCGAATTACTTGAACCCGGAAGACAGAGGTTGCAGTCAAAGATCATGCCACAGTACTCCAGCTGTGGTAAAAGAATGAGACACCATCTCAAAAACAAAACAAAACAAAACAAAAATTAGGGTAACTAGAGAGTAGCGTCCTCTTATAAAGACAGCATCAAATTGACAATCGTGTGTGTGTGTGTGTGTGTGTGTGTGTGTGTGTGTGTTAAACACAGAAACACATAAATGTTCATGACTGAGACCAGAGTGAATCAATTTTCCAGAACCTGAAAGTCCCAATAAACACCTCTGAAAAGATTAGTAACTCTACATACCTAAAGGCTTGACAAGAAAACTCTGACACATCCCTATCAGCAACCAGCTGAAATATCAGAAAGGAAGCCATTAACCTCCTTCATCCTAATAACACATACTAACTGTTGCTAAAGCATCAATCCTATGTCATATTAAATATTTTATACTTATTTCTAATGCTTACAACAGTTATATAAGTTACTATACTACCTTTAGAAAAGAAGACACCAAGTTGTTGATAACTCAAGTCATAAGTGGCAGACCCTAAATATGAATTCTAAATTATCCTAATTATGATTTTTAAAAATAGTCTGCAAGTATCGTCAGCATGGTATCTCATGCCTGTAATCCCATCACTTTGGGAAACCGACATGAGAGGAATGTTTAAGTCCAGCAGTTCAAGACCAGCCTGGGCAACATGTCAAGACCTTGTCATTCTACAAAAAAAAAAAAAAGAAAAAAAAGAAAGAAAGAAAATGAAAATTTGGGGAAGGGATACAGTGGTTCTCAGGCCTATAATCCCAGTACTTTGGGAAACCGAGGCAGATGTATCACTTGAGTCAGAAGTTTGAGACCAGCCTGGCCAAAAGGGTGAAATCCCATCTCTACTAAAAATACACCAGGTGTGGTGGCATATGTTTGTAATCCCAGGTACTTGGGAGGCTGAGGCATGAGAATCACTTGAACCCAGGAGGCAGAGGTTGCAGTGAGCCAAGACTGGACCAGTGTATTCCAGCCTGGGAGACAGAGCATGACTCAGTTAAAATATAATAATAAATTAAAAAATAAAACTGCCAGGTGCAGTGGCTCACGCCTGTAATCCCAGCACTTTGGGAGGCCAAGGTAGACCGATCATCAGAGGTCAGTAGTTCGAGATCAGCCTGACCAACATGGAGAAATCCCATCTCCACTAAAAATACAAAATTAGCTGGGCATGGTGGCGCATGCCAGTAATCCCAGCTACTTGGGAGGCTGAGGCAGGAGAACTGCTTGAATCCAGGAGGTGGAGGTTGCATGGTGAGTCAAGATCTCACCACTGCACTCCAGCCTGGGCAACAAGAGCAAAACTCTGTCTCTAAATAAATAAATAAAACTTAGCCACTGTAGTGGTACATGCCTGTAGTCACAGATACACAGGAGGCTGAGGCAGGAGAACTGCTTGAATCCAGGAGGTGGAGGTTGCATGGTGAGTCAAGATCTCACCACTGCACTCCAGCCTGGGCAACAAGAGCAAAACTCTGTCTCTAAATAAATAAATAAAACTTAGCCACTGTAGTGGTACATGCCTGTAGTCACAGATACACAGGAGGCTGAGACATGAGAATGGCTTGAGCCTGGGAGGTTATAGCTGCAGTGAAAAATGACTGCACCACAGCACTCTAGCATGAACAACATAGAGAGACACCCATATCAAAGAATAATAATAATAAATAAATAAAAGTATTTAGACCCAGGGGAGTATAAACACCTAAGAATTATTATGTATCCTTCTAGAATTGAATATAAGAGAATAAATTGAATGTAATTGAATAAATCATACAGACCAACAGCAGAATGGTGGTAACAGGAGATGGGAGAAGGACAAATGGGGAATTAATGTTTAACAGGTAAAAGAGTTTCAGATTTACAAGATAAAAATAATTATGAGACTTTGTACACCATTATGAATGTATTTATAACTAATTAACTGTAACCTTAAAAGTGCTTAAGGTAGTAATTTTTATATTATGTATATTTTAACATAATAAAAAAAAACTGGAGGAAAAAAAAGGTATTTAAAGAAAATAAGCTGGTATTTTTCTCAGCCAATTTTACCAAAATCAAAACATCAAGCAAAAGAAACAAAGCCACAATATTGATGGTTAAAATATAACTAGAACAGAAACTTCAGACTTAAGCACTGAGAAACATTAAAAAGAAAATTATTAAAAACCTTATTGTTTTCGACAGACGTGGTGGCTCACACCTGGAATCCCAACACTTTGGGAGGCTGAGGCGGGTGAATCACCTGAGGTCAGAAGTTCAAGACCAGCCTAGCCAATATGGCAAAACCCTGTCTCTACTAAAAATACAAAAATTAGCCACAGTGGTGGCAGGCATCTGTAATCCCAGCTAGTTGGGAGGCTGAGGCACCAGTATGGCTTGAACCTGGAAGGCAGAAGTTGCAGTGAGCCAAGAGTGTGTCACTGCACTTCAGCCTGGGTGACAGAGTGAGACCCCATCTCCAAAAACAAACAACAGAAAAAAACTTTATTGTTCTCATTAATAGAAATAATTAATCCAAGAGGCGAGAAGCAGAATATTTCATTTTAATGATCACTTTCTTCATGTATGAAAGATAACAAAAGACTGGTCATGCCATGTCATGACTTTCACTACTGTGAGTGACTGACACAATAAAGTTGGTTAAAATAATTTCTCAATAAATTGAGTATAAATATTTTGCAAGCTAGGCCCAGCCCACTGTGGAGGGGAAAAAAGAAGAAACAAAACAAAACAAAACAAAACAAAAAAAAACACCTGCACCTGCTCCCTAGCTATTTTCTCACAGATATTCTATTACCAAAGGAACGCAACTTACATTTCAAAAATATAATGCTTCTTTCTTCCCTGCCTCCTGTCTGCCAACTCCCAAGGAGATAATTTTTAAAAGGCCAGGCCACAGTGGTTCACACCTGTAATTCCAGCACTTTAGGAGGCTGAAGCAGCAGATTGCTTGAGCTGAGGAGTTGAAGACCAACCTGGTCATCATGGTGAAATCCTGTCACTCACTATTAAAAACACAAAAATTGGCTGGGTGTGGTGATTCTCCCTTGTAATCCCAGGTACTCAGGGGGCTGAGGCACATGAATGCTTGAATCCAGGAGGCAAAGGTTGCAGTGAGCCAAGATTGTGCCACTGCACTCCAACTTGGGCAACAGAGCAACACCGGTCTCAAAAATAAATAAGAGGCCATTTTCTTTCCTTTTCTTACTTGCTTCTGCCACTCAATAAAAGGCGTTTTTCTTTTCCTACCTTATGCCTATATCCTTTTTCTTTCTGTTTCCCTCTTCTCCTAAGGACAGGTAGCTCTTCGAATTGATGTCTGCCTTCAAACATGACGATTGCTTTTCCAGCCACCCAGGCTCTCTCAGAAGGATCTCCAAAAGCCTCCACGTAGTACTGCCGATAGGGCCTCCGGTTGGAAACTAAATAAGAGTAAGAGAACCAGTATCATTAGATCAAAGAAATTACTTCTCATCACTGTTGTCAAAGAAGACTGTTTGCAAAAAACTAACATGCCCACTATGATCTAGAGTAGATTATACGAGGAAAATTTTAAGTATTCAATATGAGTCAATACATAGGAGGTTATGAAAGTTTCAATAGTCTAATCTGATGACGTGATATAGCTACAAAACCAGCTAAATATAGATTAGCTACAAACACGAAATTAAGATAGTAGACAGGTGAGTTTCTTTTACCATCAGTCTATAATTTCGTTGCTCCAAAAACACAGAAGACATATTTTTAATAGGCCCACAGCAACAAAAATATGAAAAAGAACAAATAACCAAGAAAATGTGAAAAACACTAAACTAAAATATGAAGAGGAGGAAATGTTTCAGCAAAGCAACATGTATGATCTGGGTAGTGTAGCTACTCAGATAGAAGCACCACACAAGGTGATTTGCATGAATTCCTCCCCACAACCACACCCCCAAATAATTGGTATGGTTTCAATATTTTAAATATAGTAAGTTAAATAACTTACTATAAGTGCATAGTCAAACACTGGTTTTGCAGAGAAAGTGAATGCCAGCACACTGGGAGGCTGAGGCAGGCGGATCAACTAAAAATACAAAAAGTAGCCAGATGTGGTGGCACATGCCTGTAATCCCAGCTACTCAAGAGACTGAGACACGAGAATCACTTGAACTCAGGAGGCAAGGGTTGCAGTGAGCGGAGGCTGCACTACTGCACTCCAGCCTGGGCAACAAAGCAGAAGTCTCTCTTGGTGGGCGGCGGTGGGAGGGGATGAAAACACTTAAAGATAGAATTATAGCATGAGGGCATAGAACCCTCAAAGGCATGAATGAATAAAACAAAAAATAGTTAAGAACACTGTATCATACAGTGGATGAAAAGGGAAACTAATAAAGGTTGGACAGCAGCCAGACTTCTAAGAGTCTGCATGGCATGGTAAGACCTTAGGCTTTATAGCTTTGACTTTTGGCCGGGCGGGGTGGCTCACACCTGTAAATCCCGGCACTTTGGGAGGCCACGGTGGTTGGATCACCTAAGGTCATGAATCCCAGGTCAGCCTGACCAACATGGTGAAACCCTGTCTCTAATATTAAATACAAAAAATTAGCCAGACATGGTGGTGCATGCCTGTAATCCCAGCTACTTGGGAGGCTGAGGGAGGAGAATTGCTTGAACCTGGGAGGCAGAGGTTGCAGTGAGCTGAGATTGCACCATTGCACTCCAGCCTAGGTAGCAAGACCAAAACTCTGTCTTTTATCAAACAAACAAACAAAACAAACAAAAAAACCCATTAGCCATTATCCCGTAGGCAATGAAGACTCATTTAAACTGGGCAAATACAGACTTGGTTTTACATCTTGGAAATATAAAGACCATATTTAAATAAATAAATAAATAAACAAACAAACAAAGAAAAACAAAATCTGATATTTACAATACAATGAAATATTAGGTAGCCTTTTAAAAAATTGAGAGAGACAGACATTCAGAAACATACTATAGCATAGGTGAACCTAGAAGACATGATAAGTGAAGTAAGGAGTCAACAGGACAAATGTCTGATTCTAGTTATACATGATATCTAAAATTGTCAAATTTATAGAGAAAAAACGCACAGAACAGTGGTTGCCAAGGGCTAGGGTGATGTTGGTAAATGGGTACAGAGTTTGAATTGAGGAGATGAAAAAGTTTGGAGATGAATAGTGGCGATGGCTACATAACAGTGTGAATATACTTAATGCTACTGAACTACCTACTTGAAACAATGAAAGCATTAGGCCAGGCAAGGTGGCTCAGGTCTGTAGTCCTAGCATTTTGGGAGGCCGAAGGGGACAAATCACTTGAGGTCAGGAGTTTGAAAACAGCCTGGCCAACATGGTGAAAACCAGCCTCTACTAAAAACACAAAAATCAGCTAGGTGTGGTGGCACAAGCCTGTAGTCCCAGCTACTCTGGAGGGTGAGGCAGGAGAATCACTTGAACATGAGAGCTGAAGGTTGCAGTGAGCTGAGATCGCGCCACTGCACTTCAGCATGGTTAACAGAGCTTCATCTCAAAAAAAAATTTTTTTAATTTAAAAATATGTATACAAAAAATAAGCAAACAATAATAATAACAATGAAAGTATTAAGGCTGGCTGCAGTGGCTGGCTGACACCTATAATCCCATCACTTTGGGAGGCTAAGGTGGGTGGATCACTTGAGGATAGGAGTTCAAGACCAGCGTGGCCAACATGGTGAAATTCGGTCTCTATTAAAAATACAAAAATTGGTCAGGTGTGGTGGCAACTGCATATAATCCCAGCTACTTCTGAGGCTGAGGCAGGAGAATCACTTGAACCCAGGAGGCAGAGGTTACAGTGAGCTGAGATCCTGCCACAGCCTGGGCAACAGAGCAGAACTCTATTTCAAAACAACAACAACTAAAACATAAAACATTAAATTAAGTTTTGTCCATTTTTAAAAAGTCAAATAACCAATGGTGAAGATATGGGAAAAATCAGAACCAATGCATTGCTAGTGGGAAACTATGTCCATTGTTAAGTTGAGAAGCATCACAAATTTGTGGAAAATCTATAAACAAATCACAGATGCTTCATGACATACCCATTATAAGTTGAAAATATTAAGTTGAAAATGAAAGGTAGCCAGATGCAGTGGCTTCATACCTATAATCCGAACACTTTGTGAGGGAAAGGTAGGAGGTCTGTTTGAGCTCAGGAGTTCAAGACAAGCATGGGCACTACAGGGAGACCCTGTCTCTACAAAAAAAATTTTTCATTAGCTGGGCGTGGTGGTGTGTGCCTGTAGTTCCAGGTACTTGGGGGGCTGAGATGGGAGGATCACATGAGCCCAAGAGGCAGAGGTTGCAGTGAGCTGAGATCATGACACTACACTCCAGCCCGAGCAACAAAGCAAGACTTTGACCCCCCCACAAAAAAAAGAATAATTAGAAAATGCGTTTGATACACCTAGACCACCCTAAACATGCTCAGAATACTTATGTTAGCCTATAGCTGGGCAAAATTTCTGGCACAAAGCCTATTTTAAAATAAACTGCTGAATATCATGTAATTTACTGACTACTACATTGAAAGTACAAAACAGAATGGCTATATAGGTAACCTGAAGTACCATTTCTATTGATTGTGTATGTATTGCTTTCACACTATTGTAAGGTCAAAAAATTCTAACTTGAACCATTGCAAGTCAGGGACCTTCTGTATATGAAATGTCCAGAATAGGCAAATCCACAGAAATAGAAAGTACATTAGTGGTTGCTTAAGGCAAACACATGTGGGTGGGGAAAGATGCAGACAGAGGTAGCTAAAGAGTATGTGGTTCTATGTTAGGGTGATGATTATATTTTCTTTATTTTTTGTTTTTTATTTCTTTTTTTTTAAATTGTATTTTAGGTTTTGGGGTACATGTGAAGAACATGCAAGATTGCTGCATAGGTACACACATGGCAGTGTGATTTGCTGCCTTCCTCCCCATCACCTATATCTGGCATTTCTCCCCATGCTATCTCTCCTCAACTCCCCACCCTCTATCCCTCCCCTATTACCCCCGAAAGACCCCAGTGTGTGATGTTCCCCTCCCTGTGTCCATGTGTTCTCATTGTTCAACACCCACCTATGAGTGAGAACATGCGGTGTTTGATTTTCTGTTCTTGTGTCAGTTTGCTGAGAATGATGGTTTCCAGGTTCATCCATGTTCCTAAAAAGGACACGAACTCATCGTTTTTGATGACTGCATAATATTCCATGGTGTACATGTGCCACATTTTCCCTGTCCAGTCTATCATCAATGGGCATTTGGGTTGGTTCCAGGTCTTTGCTATTGTAAACAGTGCTGCAATGAACATTCATGTACATGTGTCCTTATAGTGATGAATATATTTTCTAATTGCTATCCTGGTGAAAACTTCAAATATGGAGTTGGGTATATAGATCTAAAGCCTGGATAAAGACTAGCTCTACGGATATCGATTCAGTTTACAGATGACAATTTAAAACTCAGAGTTAGTAAGACTGGCATTCAAGAAGGATGAAAAAGGACTATTAGAGACTAAATGTGTCCTTCTGAAATATATTATTCTGAAGGCTTGACCCCAATATGTTGGTGTTTACAGGTGAGGCCTTTAGAGTAATTAGATTTTGACAAGCTCATGACGGAGGAGACTTCATGATGCAACTAGTCTCTTTATAAGAAGATGCCAGAGTGAGTACTTTCCCTCTCTGCCATATGAGGACACAGCAACTTGGGAAACCAAATTGCTAACACTTTGATCTTGAAACTTCTCTGTCTCAACAGCCAAAATTAAATTGCTGGCCAGGAGCAGTGGCTCACACCTGTAATCTCAGCACTTTGGGAGGCCAAGGCAGGAGGATCATTTCAGCCCAGGAGCTCAAGACAAGCTCATGCAACACAGGGAAATCCTGTCTCTACAAAAAATACAAAAATTAGCCGAGTGTGGTGGCACACACCTGTGGTCCCAGCTACTCAGAAGGCTGAGGTGGGAGGAGCACTACTAGTGCACTGGAGCCTTAGAGGCAGAAGGTGGAGTGAGCTATAATTGTGCCACTGCACTCCAGCCTGAGTGACAGAGCAAGACTCTCCCTTAAAAATAAGACTAATTATAAAAATAAAAAGAACAAAAAATCAAAATCCTTCTGGGTCCTATATACTTATCTGCCTATAGGATCCTCCCTTCTCTGCCTCTGTCTCCATTGCCTCAAATCAGTCCAATCTAACTTCTACCTGAATCAAACCAACAACAAAAAAGGTACTCGTTATCTCCACCTTCTTATCCCTAGTGGACATTTTATTTGCTCTCTAGGGAACACTCAGCAAAATTGACCATATTGTCCTTCTTAAACTAGAGTGAGCTCAGCTCATGTGTGGCTTCACTTTCCATGGTTTCAGTTACCTGTGATACAGTA